ATTAACTTAACAGAAATTGTTATCAGATTATTATTATATTTTAAACATATTTAGCAAAAACATAGGTTTCTGTAAAGCATGTGTAAGCTTGTAGTAGACATATGAGTGCTGCCAAAGGAAAATGTAACTTCAGACTTTCAATTACATTTTGACCGGACACAATCCTTAATAAATTAAATAGAAAGTGTCCGGTCAAAATGTAATTGAAGTCCGAAGTTACATTTTCCCTTGGCAGCACTCATATAAAAAGTTTGACTTACGTACCTGATTTAAAAGCAAACTGTTTAATGTTCTATAATTTACATATATTATGAAAATTTTAAATGTTCAAATTTCTATATTTGCCATTACAATTTATATAATATTAATACGCTATTATATAGTCTACGCCAACAATTACGCTGTTAATAACTATGATAACTACCAAGAGTTTATCATCCATTGGAGAATTGAGCGTCATAAAACACATAAAACAATACGAAGATGATGATACACTTTTGATAACCACGCAGATTAATAAAACGAATTACATCTATCTTTTTGCAAACAGGAGCATAGTAACGGTTGATTATAATTTTACTTGGCCACGGACAATACAAGCTGGAGATTTTCTAGCTGTACTCCTATTTAAAAATTATATTTTAATCCAAATTAGAAATTATTATTCTTCGACATATTATAATTATACCATTATAGACTAGAAGGGTACAAAAATAGCGTAAGTACAAATAATTGACGTTCCTTATGGTTTGCCCATAACTTTAGATGTCACAATTTACAAATGTATCGAAAAATTAAATTTGCATATTTATATAGACAAATCAAAGGAGATGAATGCGGTTTTCAGATAAATTGCAAGTTCTCGCCTATGAATAAAAATGGTGATTGAAGAATATGATGACGAAAGAAGAAACTGATTAGTAGATATTAGGTATGTTAAAAGTAAATTGATAATGAATGATGACAAAAGAAAAAAGAATAGAATCATTAGTAAGGTGAATGAAAGAATGTCAATAGAAATGAACACAACGAAGAACACATACCTGATATTCAAATAGTGGATAAAGATCTAGAAGGTTACAGGTGCAAATTTGATTTTATTGATAAAACTGTTAAAAGTGAAGTTATAAATATGAAATTTGATGAATTGAATCAAAAGAATGAAGTTAAGATCAGAATCATACCTGAGGGCTTGCATAAAAAGAAGTCATTCGAATATCATCAAAAATCAGTTGGTTACTGTTATCAAAATAGAAATGGAACTGAAAAGGAAGATTATAAAGCATTCGAATATTGTGAGAACATTGTTGAACGTGAATATTCTGATGGACAAAGTAGCCCTAAAACTGCTATGAAAATAGCATTGAAGATGAAAAAAATAAATATCGAGCATCTTTTTATTTCCAGAAAGTTGCCAATACAGGTAATAATAGTGTTGGCCATAAAACTTTCGATCTCAGATATAGCCATAAAAATGGAATCCAAGTTAATGATAATGGAACTTATGCTACCAAATATTGTCCTCAACATAGAATCGGAACTGAAAAAAATGATTATAAAGCGACTGCTCATCAAAAGCTCAGAAATTTGGGTGGTGCTGATAAAATATATTGTGATAGAATTGGAGTAGAAAAAGACAAACATAATATGTTTATTAACTATCAAAGAAACCCCAGAATACAACTTACTAAAGGAACACTTAATGCTGGTCACTATTATCAGGGAATAGGAATTAGAAAGAATAAAATAAAGGATAGCAAAATTGAAGATAAATATGATGTGATCTATTATGTAACAAGTGCATATTTTAATGATAATGAAGACTCAAAATGCAAAATTAATAAAAAGTACTGCAATGTATCTGATGATAAAAAGAGAGTAATAGACAACTATAGATAGGATGAATTGGAGATTGAGATCGATCAAATGTTGCTGACCTTGAGAAACGATATTGACGGTAGAAGTGGCACTGTAAAGAATAAATATAAAGCACCTACTAGTTATCAAACACTTGCGAAAATGAATAATAAGACACATGATCTTGCCAAATTGAATCAAAATAGGATTGTTGAAAAAGATAAATGTAAAGCATCCAA